AAGAGTCGTTTCTGGAACATGAGGTCAGCTGAGCTGAATCATAGTTTCTGGTTTTGGTTTTAGAATGATGATTATGTTTAATCTTTACAGCTGCAGTTAATGGTTTATAAAAAGGTTTTTATGAGCTGCAAAGTACAAGGTCATAAACACTGAACCTGAGTCTGCTCTCGAGCTGCTGAGATCACCTCTCACATCATCAGAACTAAACTGGTGTAGTGACGGTGTAACTCAAACAATTATTTTCCCACTATATTAACAATATTTTAATAGTCATTTTTTTAAAGATAAAACTTAAAATAAGCATACTTTTGTTACATATACATTTGTAAAAACTCTTGATTTGATTGATGCTGCATGTTTATCTGAGTGTCCAGACCAAGCCAAGTCCAAACATGGCCGTCCATTCAACTCAAAGAGCCGAGCTCAATGGTTCATGTCTCTACCAACTGTCACCCACTTCACCAAGAAACTGGTGCTGAATGTTGACAAGACTAAGGAACTACTCATCTACACTCACTCACACATCCCAGACCTGGCAGCTTTCATCATTCACAACAAAACAGTAGAACATGTCAATCACTCAATATCTCAAACTCACATTAGACAATAAATTTACCTTTGAACATCATTTCAGTGACTCCACATCCTCCATAAGCTTTGTGCCCTGTCAGTTTCTCCACACCTTCTGTCACTTTTATACACAGTATTATCCACTCCTTCCTTCTCTACTGTCCCCGTTACTTCAGTATGCTCTCCATCACCAACGGGAATAAACTCAAAGATCACACACACCACATTTGGCCATCACGGACCTCTCCCACCTCAACAACACACAACAACTGTCCTGGACAGTCACAAGGACTCAGACCAGCCTCTCCATAAACACTTCTGATACAGGACTCTGAGGGGAAAGCATGCGCCCTTCAGTAAAAGCTTTGTCTTGTCTGTCAGTGTTGCTTTCCCTGCCAGCATCTTACACCTGCAGTTATGTGCTGGACTGTCTCAGGAGCCTCTTTGCACAGTCTACACCGTGGGTCTTGTCTGGTGTGGTAGATCTGGGCCTCTATTGCTCGAGTGCTCAGGTCCTGCTCCAGTATTCCAGGATGAGCCTCAGTGTGTCCTTCAGACCCTCTCAAGACATTGGTTGGATTTCTTGATATCAGCCACTTCAGTTCGTGGTTCATGTCGGGGTTTGTCCTGGCATGATGGTCCCTCCAGCTCCTCTTCCTCTGGACTCCACTATCTGAGACATTCTCTGAGCTCCTCATCTGCCGGGGCCTTGTCCTTGATGTTCTCAAGGAGCTTGGATGTTTCATCCTGGACAGTGGTTCCCACACTCACTAGTCCTCGGCCTCCTTCCTTCCGGCCTGCGTACAGTCTCAGGGTGTTGGATTTGGGATGAACCCTCCACATGGTCAGGAGCTTTCGTGTCTTAACATCTGTGGTCTGTATCTCCTCCTTTGGCCAGTGCACAATTCCTGCAGGGTATCTGATCACTGACAGGGTGTAGCTGTTGATTGCCTGCACCTTGTTCTTGCCATTGAGCTGCTTCTTAGGACTTGCCTCACTCTTTGCAGGTATTTGGCCGTAGCCGCTTTCCTTGTTGCCTCTTCGAGGAGCCATTTGTTTGTGGGATACAGAGGTACTTGTAACTGTCCTCAACGTCTGCTATTGTTCCCTCTGGGAGTGACACCCCCTCTGTGTGGACTACCTTCCCTCTCTTTGTCACCATCCTGCTACATTTCTCAAGCCCGAATGACATCCCAATGTCTGTACTGTAGATCCTTGTGGTGTGGATCAGTGAGTCGATGTCTCGCTCACTTAGCGTACAGCTTGATGTCATCCACGTAGAGGAGGTGACTGATGGTGGCCCCGTTTCTGAGTCGGTATCCGTAGCCAGTGCGGTCGATGATTTGGCTGAGGGGGTTCAGATGCAGAACAGTAGTGGGGACAGTGAGTCTCTTTGGTATATGCCACATTTGATGGACACTTGTGCAAGTGGCTTCCCATTGGCTTCAAGGGTGGTTTTCCACAACCGCATCGAGTTTGCAATGAAGAGTCCTGTTGATATTGTACAGCTCCAAGCACTCAGTGATCCACGTGTGTGACATTGAGTCAGAGGTTTTCTTGCAGTCAATCCAGGCAGTGCAGTTTGGTCTTGTATTGATCCATGTGCCCACTTATCTTAGCCACGATGATGCCTGACATGAGGTTGCATGTTGTGGAGAGACAGGTTATTGGCAGATAGTTGGATGGGACTGCACCCTTTGAGGGATCCTTTAGGATCAGGATCATACGCCCTTGGGTTAACCTTTCAGGGTGTGTCCCATCCTTTAGCAGCTGGTTCATTTGTGCTGCCAGGCGCTCGTGGAGAGCAGTGAGCTTCTTTAGCCAGTATCATGTCAGGGTCCGGTGCGATCCAGTTTTTCATACCTGAGACTCTTTCCTGGATGTCTGCCACTGTGATGGTGACTGGATTCTGTTCAGGGAGGTTGCTGTGGTCTTCTCTCAGATGCATCGGTGTTATGTGATGCCTCCCTCTCTCATATGCCTTTCCAGGACCTTGGTGGGTCTGCTCTGGTGTTATTACCCTGCCATTGACTGTACACTTTCACCGGTTGTGTTGCAAACAGCCGGTTTATTCGTCTGGCCTCGTTATCTTGTGTGTACCTCTTTAGGCAGCTGGCCAAGGCTTGGAGCCTTTGTTTATGGACCAGTGGAGTCACTTGGTCACTGCATCCAACAGATCAGTGTGTGGATGCAAAACAACTTTCTCCAGCTAAACTCTGACAAGACTGAAGTCATAGTGTTTGGTCCACAGAAACAAAGTGACAGTGTCAGCATCACCTCCAGTCTCTCTCTCTAAAACCTTCAAATCAGGCAAGAAATCTCGGGGTAATAATGGACTCAGACTTGAACTTTAACAGCCACATCAAATCAATAACATCTGCAGCCTTTTACCATCTAAAAAACAGAGCAAAAATCAAAGGTTTACTGTCTAAATCAGACTTGGAGAAACTTATCCATGCGTTTGTCTCCAGTAGGTTAGATACTGTAATGTTCTGCTCACTGGTCTCTCCAAACGAGCTGTGAGACGCTGCAGAACATCCAGAACATCCAGAACATCCAGAACATCCAGAACATCCAGAACATCCAGAATGCTGCAGCTCGGGTCCTTAATCGAACTAGGAAGTACGAGCACATAAGTCCTGTGCTCAGGTCTCTGCTCTGGCTCCTGTGGCTCAGAGACTTTAAAGCAGCTCTGTTTGTACAAGTGTCTCCATGGCCGAGCACCAAAGTCCATCTGTGACATGTTAGTGTCATATGAACATCTCACACTCTGAGGAGCTCAGGGACCAACTCCTGCTGGTGCCCAGAGTCACGACTAAACAAGGGGAGTCAGAGTTTCAGGTTCATGCAGCTAAAACCTGGAACAGTCTGAACATGTGAGACAGACTCTTCTGTGACGCTGTTTAAATCCAGACTCTAAACATTTCTGTTTAACTGTGCAAATAACTGAAAGGTTTTCATTCTGCACTCTTCTCTCCAATTTATATCTCTCTTTTTTAAAATTTTAATCTTCATGATTATTTATGTTTTGATTTGTTTTTATTATGATTTTAATGTATTTCTTATTCTGTAAAGCACTTTGAATTACTTTGTGTACGAATTGTGCTGTACAAATAAACTTGCCTTGCCATATGTTTCATGATGCACATATTTACTAAAGATCTTATAACTGTTTTCACTGTCATATACAAATCTATTAAGATTCAGATAAAACATAAAATTGTGTATGATTTCTCTATACCTTTTCCATATGGGGTAGTAACTGCACCACTGCTTCTCCTTTTGCTCTTTTCTTTCATTTTTGCATTCATGATCTTTGTGCCTCTTCTGTCCACAGTTGAAACATGTTAAAACTGAGCTGCATTTTCTTTTTGTCACATATCACCTACTGGCAATTTGGGAGAAAAAAGTGGTAAGAGTTTTTAAATTGTCAGAAAATTGTGAAAGATTAATATTTTTTAATATACACACACATATATATATATATATATATATAATATTATATATATATATATATATATATATATATATATATATATATATATATATAATATATTATTTATATTTTTCCTTTTCTGTTCTCTCCCCATTGACATATTGATTCCATACATTACTATAAATAACGGATCCTTTTGATGCCATCTTATGCCCAACACCATGTTTAATTCCACATACAGCAAATAAGTAAAACAGAAAACAATTTTTAAAACATAAAATCCCACTAAGCAGACAGCCAAATACAGATTTAAACATAACATAGACATAATGGTGATAACAAAATAATAGAAATAATCAAACCAAATGGTAATGGTGAATGACAGTCAGATTTTAACATTAAATAAACAACATGCCACTGTATGCTTCAATTTAATATCAAAAAACAAAGTCAATGCAATAGAAATAATGCTTATAACAAAATAATAAGAATTATAAATAAAAATGTTTATAACAAAATAATAGAAATAAAGGTTAGAGACCAATCCTGAACCAGGGAAACAGCTCTTAGTACAGGCAGCATGTGATTCACGGCCATGGTCTATTACACTTGATGGCTTTTGCACGTTTGTTAAATATATTTTTTTACTCTAGCAAATGTGTGGCGTGCCCATGACCAATCATATTCATTAATTCAATAATTATATTCAAATTAATTAAAGGTGACTCTCTCAACAGTTTATAACAATTTTGTTATGAGATCAGCCTGAAATGTTTCCCCTGGATTTTATGGGTAAATTACCAGGAATCTACTGGGAAGGCTCATGTGTGAATCAGAGAGCATAGATTAGACTACTAATTTCACTAAAACATGGTTAACATAATTCTTTTCTATTAATCAAATCTTTGCATTTTGGTTAAGTTTTACTTCCTGGTTGGTCACGGGCAACAGATGTGACATATGGGTACAGTACTTTCATCATTGTTTCCTAGCAACCATAATGTAAACAAGGACAAAGTTAAATACATTTCACAATAGTAACGATTAGACAAAAGCAATATCTGATAATTTTTCTGATAATAGATTTATAATGATTTTGTTCTGACTCAGTATATATGTAAGGGGAATACAGGGCCAATAATTTAATTCCTCCTGACGGGGATGGAGGTCTGTCTGGGGGCCACACCACTGGAACAGGGTATGAAATGTGAACTTGTCTTCAAACACTCTGTAGTGATTTTCAGACACACAAAGCAGAATTCCACTTTACAATCAGGACAAGTGATGTTCTTACACTGCTCTCTGTTATGTGCTATGAGTTTTCCACAGGTGGGACAGGCACGAATAGACGGGCAACCTGTCACTCCACACACATCTGCAAACTCAATCTCTGGACATGTTTTCAGGATTCTCAGATCTGGATTTTCACAGCCTTCATTTCCACAGCGGTCAGAGTTTAGTACACTAAGGCCTTTCCATTTTTTCCTACACTGCCAACAGAACTCATAATTTTTCAAATTTTTAGCAGAGCACTGAGGACATCGGACACATAGGTTACTGGGGTCTTCTCTCATAACACGAGACTTGCAGCCGGGGCACTGGAAAAGAAAACAGACCTTAGTATAGGCACTAAAATTTAAATTAATGTTTTAAACACTTACTTCTTGGGTTTTTAGATTTAGATTGGCAAAGTTACAAAACAAAGCATCTTCAAAAGCATCCTTCTCCTCTTCTGTGAGTAGAGCCATTTTTCTTACTTCATCAAAAGGCCAGACCGTACTGCAGACACCACACTCAAATGAAGTGTTGCCCTTGAACAAAATAATACTAAATAAAAATATATTTCACTAAAAAGGAAATCTGAATTAGTCTCATGAAACAAATGCGTCACACCACAACAATTTCCAATAACAATGAGCTACAACACTGTGATAGGGTCCTGGGCACAGCAGATTCTGCGTTTAGTTGTTGTGTTGTTCCGATACCATTTTTTGGGGATCTGATCCAATACCAATACTTGGCATTTGTGTACTCGCTAATACCGATACCTCATACTGTGAAATATGGCTACTCAATTTTGTTATAGTACAAGAGTAAAAGATTTGTACCAAAGGCTAAATGAAGGTATCAGTGGTAACATATATGCCTTTTTTGTATTATTAAGCTGCATTCAGACCAGAGAGTCTAGGTGTCCAGTTCACATGCAGAGTCTATGTGCACACACGTCTAGGGAGTCCTGTGTTTTTGCTGCGTCTTCAGGCGTCAGCAGGGCACATCTTGAGCGTTCAGGCCTTGGAACTCTGGAAGCGTAAAGGGCTTTGCTGTCAGAAGTTGTCCAGTGACAAAGCAGTGTTATTACCCGGAAGAAGGAGAAGAAAGAGAAAGACTTAAGAACCACAAACACCAGAACAAGAAATATATTCCATATCATTAGCGGAGAATAAATATGTATATGCCACTGCCAAGCCGATCACCTGTGATGATGTGTTTTTGTATTGATTATATTTAATTGACCTTCATTAGCTATTGGCTAGTCTTCCTGGAGACCTATGTTGCATGTTTTTGGGGTTTTATGTAATAAATACTCTAAAGTCTCTCTCTCTCAACCGGGAAAACAAGGCACTCGCAGACTAAAGCAGATGCCCTGGACATGCTTATTTTTCTCCCTTTGCAAAGGCGTCCAACTAGGGGCACCCAGTGCATTTTTTAATGCTGTGGTCTGAATGCACCTTTTCAAAAGTCTCCACAGTCTGTATTTAACCTACAAGACCTCAATCAGGAAAATACAGAGTGGTATCAGATCGGTGATTTGATTTCAGTACTCGCCAATACTGATACCTGAAAAAAGGTGCAATATCGGATAACAGTATCGGTGCTGATACCAATATTGGTATCAGAACAACCCTAGTATGCACTGTGTGCAAATTATTAGTCAAGGTGTGTATTTTGATCACATCATGATTTTTATGCATATTCTCCAACTCTAAGCTGTATAAACTTGAAATCTTATTGCATTTAAGCAGATGATGTGTACTTGTCACGAGGGAGGGTGTGGCCTAAAAAGATCAACAACCTATCTCAAGGTGTGCAAAATTATTAGGCAGCTTTTTTCCTCAGGCAAAATGGGACAAAAAAAGATTTAACTGACTGTTAAAAGTCAGAAATTGTAAAAAAAAAAAAAAAAAAAGTATTTCAGAGAGATGCAGCAGCACTCTTGAAATAGCAAAGATAATATTGGGGTGTGATCACAGAACCATCAAATGTTTTGCTGTAAATAGTCAACAGTGTCGCAAGAAACGTGTTCTGAAAAAAAGATGCAAATTAACTGCAAGAGATTCAAGATGAATCAAACATGAAGCTACCTGGAACCCATTATCCTCCAGTGCTGTCATTTTGTAGAACTGCAGCCAACCTGGAGAGCCCAGAAGTACTAGGTGTTCAGTGCTCAGAGACATGGCCAAGAGGAAAGCTGAAAGCTGACCACCACTGAACAAGAAACATGCTGAAACGTGAAGACGGGGCCAAGAAATATCTGAAGACAGATTTTTCAAAGGTTTTATGGACTGATGAGATGTACGGGCCCATGACTGGATCAGTAATAGGCACAGAGCTCCACCAATGACATGGTCCTCTTCCTTCCCCCAACCTAAACACTGTTGACAACTTGTGGGTCCTTCTCAAACAGCAGATTCATGGTGAAGGAAAACAGTCCACCTATGAACAGCGTCTGGAGGCTGTGGATGATGCTGCTCAAAAAGTTGATCGTCAGCAGACCAAGAAACTGACAGAGTCCATGAATGGAAGGCTTATGACCCATTATTGTGAAAAGTGGTTATATTGGTCACAGGTTTTTTTTTTTATGTCAGAAATGTTTATTTGTAAATTTTGAGTTGTTTAGTATTCTGACAGATAAAATTAACAAATGAGAATGGAAAATGTTCATTTATCATTTAGTTGCATAATAATTCTGCACATTAATAGTTGCCCAATAACTGTGCACACATAGATTTTCTCCTAAAGCCAAAACTTCACTTTTACTTTCTTAAATATTCAGGGTTGAGGTTTATTAACATTTTGGATTGACCCAGAGCACTGGGGTTGTTCAATTATAAAATTAATCCTCATAAATACAACTTGCCTCATGATTATGCACACAGTGTAAACCACTATGTATAGTCTATGGACAATCTTCCACTGACCATAAGAAAAAGTCCATCACTGTCCATGTTCAAACAGCACCTTAAACTGTGAATGAAAAAAACCCACGTCCATGAGCATTTTTAATCTGACTTTTTAATATTCTGTAGTCTCTCGTTTTTGTAAGATTTTGTATTTGTCTTCTATGTTGCCTGCCAAGGGACAACAGATGGAAATGAACATCTTTCCTAAAATATTGAATATTTACACTGTGAATGAGTGAGATAATGAGTGAATGAATGATGCATTTCATTTAATTTAGTTCCACATAACATAACTAGCCCACTATCAGAACTGACGTGATTTGGCTCCAATAACTACCGCTCTCTCTATAACTGCTGCTGTCAGGCTCCTTATTCATTCATTCATTCATTTTTGCCCATAAATCAATATCTGAACATTAATAACAGACCAATCAGACTTCTACTTTCCCCAAGGTCGCTCCTGCTAGTGTTAGCAACAGGTTTGATTGACACCGTTCCTAATTATCAAAGTACTTAAATGAAAAATTAAAATGAAGAGTTTATCTAAGGTCTACATGTCTACTGCAACTAGACAGCATTTACTATAGGGTAATACTATCTCTCTAGTCTGTTTTTGTAACTGATGAGAGACTCTCATTCACTTCTGCTGTTACTCTGAGAAGCTCTTGTGTTTACTCTTGGTTTACATGTTACAAAGATTGATTACATACGCAAAGACTCCAAAATATCCGACATGTTTGATATCAGTTGCAGCTCATCTTTGAACTTACGATGTTTGATCTTTGTCCCTGTATAATTATGAGACAAAGCAACCATGACTTTGAGCAACTCAAGAATTTTCCCCATGATCATAAATCTTTCACAGCAGGGGGTGAGGACAGGCAAATGCCACACTTCAGATAACTTGCGTGAGTGTGATCAGGTAACATAACTCCTACCTTCACCCTGGCCTGTCTGTCACTCTACTCTCTAGGACTTCCTGTGGATTATTTCTGCAGATCTGTACCTCCCCCACACTCCTCAAATGTCAGTGTGGCAGGGCATATTGATTTTCAGACTTACTTTTTATGATTGATTTGATAACTTTCCAAGTACAGGACCTGCGCAACTCCCAAACCACACCACAATTGCAGTCAATATATACCTGGCATTTGTGAGTGAATGAGCTGCAAAAAGGCAAATTAAACTCATGATTCACAAGATCAATCTGTCTTTATGTAAACACATTGTGTCCTGGTACTTTTTTCTGCATAAATAGTAATTTTTGCATGAGCTCCCACTGCAGTGTAGTCTTGGCTCACATACACAGAGAATAGTTTTGAGAGCTTTGGCCACGCCCCGCACAACTTATTAACTAATTGGCAGGACACGGACTACAGCCCTGAAAAATGTATTTAAAAATTTCTATGTACAACATCATATTAATAATACAATGTCATTAATGAGAGACGGTTTGGAGTTATTCCTCACCTGATCCAACTGTTTTTGGCACCAGTAGAAGAGAGATGCAGGAGTGACTGCGTGACCACAGGACATCAGAGCTCTTCTAGAGCTGAAACCTTCACACAGGACTGAAAAGACAAAAGGTTTAAAAAACATCTGGAGGAAAACAAGAATACTGTTAAACACACACACACCATCCATCCATTTTTTCCGCTTTGTCCTGGTTGTAGAGGCAGTAGTCTGACTGTTATTGTAGATCTACTGTCTTTGTCAAATTCAAATATTAGTCATGATGTTCCTCTGCCTCTGCCAGTAGCTTTCAGTGAGAGTGGTTCAAGATTGATAAATGTATAGAGCTCACTTCAGAGAAAGAAATATCAGTCTGGTGAGAGCCAGGTTAGGTCTGTTCAGGCTGTGGATAACAGAGAGAGCTGCAGTGTTGGACTGTGAGGTTAGAGCACTTATGTACTTATAAATACAACCAATAAGCACACTATTTCTACCTGCTTAGTGAAATTCAACAGAGGCCTGTCTGACATGCTGAGCTCATCTCTGCAGAACTGAACAGCTCAGCCACTGTAGCACCAACAATCAAGAATAAAATAGTATACCGAAAAAAGCAGAGCAGCGTTATATTTATGTAAAAATACTAGCAGAACATTCAGGGAACATTAAGCTGGAGAGCTACAAAGTGTACCGAATATACACAAATATACAGCTGTAGTATTTTTAATCTGTGTGCCTTGTGTGTAATGTGGCTGGTATGTGGACACAGAAGCTTTACTCACAGTCATGTTCATCTTCTTTGTCTGTAAACTTCAGATCACGGTCACTGGGGTCATAACACTTCTCTTTGGTGTCTTGGTGCATTGGGTATTGTGGTGGTGCATTATTTTTCACATTTTGTCGATTTCTTGCCATTCTTCGACCATCTCTGTATTAGTGACCACACGCATCCCATCTTAAAGCAGTCACTACAAAAGACAAATTAACCAACAGACAGTCATAAATATTCCCTGTTGCAGGGAGATAAGTGTATTCTTATGAACGCCTCATAGATCGGTTTGGCAACATGAATGTTTTTCTTTATATGAGCGCTATGTCTTACTGTTGTGGTTATCAAGTATGCTCTCTCTTTTCTCTTAGCCTAAAATCATTTTCTCTATTGCTTAGTTTCAGATGACATCACCAAATTCTATAAGTAAATATTTAATTAATAATTTTAAGATGGGGGCATCTAAAATTCATATTGTCAAAATGTTGATTTGTTGTAATACAATTGAATTAATCACTAATAAAAATGATCAGTTTCAAGATTTGTGAATTTACCTTTTGAAAATTTCATGGTAAAGTACAATGTAATTAATAGGAAAATCTGGCTCCTGCCCCCCACTTGACATTATCACACTCTGAATGTGAAAATCAATAGACAGTCAATACTGCATAACAAATGTGTGACATAAGATTGGCGAATTACTCATAAGGAAAAAATGAGCAGTGTTCAATATTTTTTTACTTTTAAGAAAAAGGAAAATGGATGTGTTTGGCAAGTGAAAAGCAGGGAGTTAAAAACCCTAATGCAGTACTTGTTGAGGGCACAACTCAGTCAGAGTGTGGTGAAGAGGTGATTGATTTCCTAAAGTCAGTGATGTGCTGTGAGGTTTGCAGCGGGTGAGGCAAAGTGCGGTAGGCTCAAAAATGTTGATGGGCACTAAGCTGCTTATATTTTCTTTACAAACAAATAAGAATCTCCTTTAATAATAAAAGCATTGATTTATTTGGTTTATATACAAAAGGGGAAGAATGCAAAAAACAATTCTGACCTGAATATAAAATAATAGATGAGCTAAACCCCATTATGTCATCAGTGAATCGGTTCCTGCAAATCATTTGTGGACAGAATCTCCACATTAGAACTACAGTTAATGTGTTTGCTAATGATTTCTTTAGTTGTAAAAAGGCTCAGACTGTGCAGTGAAGTTCGACACTGTCAAGTTTAAACTTATAGTACATATTTCTGTAGTAAATGTGCGACTCCCACTTGGACCTTGGATTTGGCGCCACGTGCTCATTGAGCACCCTGCTTCTCCCTTACCTAGTGGACTACGCATCCAGAGCTGTCTCATCTCCCTACCAAGTCACACTCCTTGCAAAATTCCAGTTGTTGTTAAAAATGTGTCTTTTGAACAGTGACAATGAGGAGGCTCATGCTGCCATACTCAAAGAACCATCTCTCAAGCTGAATTTTAGAATTTCTCCTTTGCTAGCAAAATGGAGAGAACGCATCACGTCCAAACTGAACAGTATGCCCGAGGGTTTTTCGCAGCATCATTTAGACTTTGACTGCACCAACAATGTCCATTATCATATTAAGCTGCAAGACGCAATCCCCTATAAACACTAGGCCTGACTAATACACAAACAATATACTCTTTGCGCACTTATGAGGAAAACTACTACATATCTCAGTCCCCTGCCAGGATACTGACTTTGAACTGTTTAACTTCAGCTCTTTGTTCGCTCTTCTCATCACTGCGTACAATGAGATTATCATTTAGCCCTTTTACTGAGGACATTTTATTAATAAATGGAATGGCTGAAAGTGCTGTATCTCATCCTAGAGCTTTGAAGTCCAAATAAGAAGAGCTACTGTCATTTTAAATTCATTTTAAAATATATTGAATTTGCGTAGAACAAAAATTTTATTTTAAATTTGGTAATATTAAGCCTCCTTGGCTTAGGAACATTAAGTGTATGAGCAAGCCAACACATCTGGGAAATACCTCTCTAAGATTATTAATAACAAAGCATCAAAACACCCAACTACCCAA